TGCAATGTGTTAATTATTGAAACTGTCCTACCAATTTGGTTTGAAACTGTCTCATTGCTATTTGTTTCTCAATAAAATTATGGAAAGAAAAAATATATATATCAGAGCTTAAAAAATAAATAAATAAACAAAAAAAATATCAGAGCTTGGGTCAGGGAGATGGCTCAGTTGAATAAATGCTTGCCTGGCAAGTGCAAGGGCCTGAGTTCAATCCCCAGTTCTGCAAAAAAATAAAAATAAAAACTCAAAGCTTGTAATTTTTTTTAAAAATCCCTATGATAGTAAGCAAATTGAGGGCCGGTGAGATAGATCAGCAGACTAAGCACCTGCTTAGGCAAGCACAGGGACTGAGGTTCAATCCCTGGTCCTACATGCCACATGGACCTCACCCCCAGTCTCAATGAACCAGCCACCAACACCAGGTGTGGTAGCACACACCTATAATCCCAGCACTGGGGAGGCTGAAAACAGGAGGATCACTATGAGTTTGAGCTGCATAGTGAGACCTTGTACCAAATACGAGAGAGAGAGAGAGAGAGAGAGAGAGAGAGAGAGAGAGAGAGAACTGAAAATCTGTGTTAGCTGATATGCCCTAAATAATCCTGCCTTAGGTTTCCATTGCTGTAACACAACAACCACAACAGTCACCAAGGAGAGCCAGTTTATTTGGCTCTCAGTTTTGGAGGTCCAGGAGGTGGTGGCCCGGCCTTCTGGCTCTGGGCTTGGTGAAAAGAAAGCCTCTCTCCCTCAGCCCAGAAGCAGGAGAGCAGGACAGGGGACCAGGGCTCCCCATATCACCCCTGCAAGGGCTCACCAGACCCCACATCCTGCAGGCCTTCACCTCCCAGGGGCCCAGCCCTGGATGAGCAGCCTGTAGGGGACACTCGGGCTAGGCTGGAGCACATCCCCCACCTGCAACCTGGAGAGTTCATCAGCCGTGTGGGCAGTGGAGCTCCAGTCCCAAGAAGAAGCCTAGCACCAGGGAAGGAGTGGGCCCTGAAATTCACACAGGGCAAGAAAATCCAAGGGTGCATTGGACTCACGGGTGTCTCGAGCTCTTCTCTTGCCTCCTGCTACACGGGGCAGCTGAAGAGATGTGTGGCTCCATTTGATTCCATTTGGTTTCGTTTGGTTGTACAAGAACCCCTCCCTCATTCACCAGAGCAAGACTCATTAATGTGGTTTGTGTTGGAATCAATTAAAAATGCCGATCCCTGACCTCGCTCATGATCCCCAAGGCCTCCAGCCAGGGGAGGCCTGTGTTTGCCCCCCACCGCATACCCCAGGTTCTTCCAAGCGTCATTGCTCTGAAGCAAAGGAATTGCTCCCCATATGGCCCTCTGCAGGGCAAGTGTCCGCTCAGCCCCTCGGCAAGTATTTATTTTTAGCATGAATTTTGTTATTAAAAGGAGAGCTTCCACCCTCTGGGGCACTGCTCCCCACGTTGAGGAAACACCTCTCCCAGGGGAGGCTGAGAGGACAGGCCTCACACAGTCCCTCTGCTGCATGCAGCTCTGTACATGCCTTCCCAGCAGAGCTCTAGGCAGGGTCTACACTCCTGGCACCTCTGCCTGCCCTGAATGCAATGTTCGCCTGTGGGGCTCCCTCGAGCACAGAGCAGATGAGGGATGGGACGCGACTCAGGGAGCTGCTGCATCCCGGGGCGGCCCTGCCACGCTCCCACTCACCTCCTTCTCTGGTCCAGGGATACAGCTTCATGGTACTCCTCCCTACCCTGAGGAGCCCTGGCCTGGCTCTGAGTTGAGAAAGTCCTTTCTTACTCTGCCTGTGACTCAGAGAATGCAGGTATATTAATCAGCCCTAGCCTCTATCACCATAACAAAACACCTGAACCAACCAACATTATAAAGAGAAAAGGCCTATGGAGCTCAGTTGGGGAAGCCACGTCACATGGCAGCCCCATGGGTTTGGCCTTGGTGGGGTTGGTGGATGCTCCCATCCTCAGAGCCAGAAGGCAGATCTTGCACCAGGAAGAAGGGA